TCTTTAGCATGTATAGCATCTGAGCAACTGAAGCCTGATGAATTCATACTTTTGTGTAGAACCCAAGCTCTGGCCCTAGCCCAGAGTCTCTTACAGCAAAACAATCATATTTACTGAGCATCTACATTTAGTATAACATTTATATAAGATACATCAGCAGCATCGTCGTGAACATGATGAGCCATTGGAGCAGCTCGTGTGGGGGAATGGATAGATTTAGAAACAACAATCCATCCCGTAAAGCCATTCATACTTTTCCATATTTTGTATCAATTCAATTACTCATTGTTCTCCTTGATCTACTGTTATCTGTACCTTGTGGTAAACCACCTCCCCTCTCACTACGTTGGCTTAAGTTATCCTCCAACTTGCACATCTGAAAAGAGCCAGAGCTCCCTAACAGGACTTCTCCCTCTTGCCCCTCCCATATTCCAATTTCCATAGAGTACCCAGAGTGATCCTTTTAAAACATAAATCAGTCCAGGCACGGTGGCTCACACCTGTAATCCCAGCACTCTGGGAGGTTGAGGTGGATCATGAGGTCAGGAGATCGAGACCATCCTGATTAACACAGTGAAACCCTGTCTCTACTAAAAATACAAAAAATTAGCCGGGCATGGTGGCACGTGCATGTAATCCCAGCTACTCAGGAGGCTGAGGCGGGAGAATCACTTGAACCCAGGAGGAGGAGGTTGCAGTGAGCCGAGATCGCGCCATCACGCTCCAGCCTGGCGACAGGGAGAGACTCCGTCTCAACAAACAAACAAAAAACATAAATCAGATAACATCACAGCTCTGTTCAAAACCCCATGATGGCTACCCATTTCACAGTGTATTAGCTGTATTTTCTTATTTTCTGCATTCTTGATGCTATGGAATTTGGGACCTTGTCATTTAGAGTTAACTGATTCTTAGAGATTGCAAATGACTCACTCTGAACCATGCCTTTTATTTGCATACTAACAAATCCAGAGTCCCCTAATGTGAATCATCTCTGTCTGGCTCTTACACTATAGGAGACAATTTTTTTTTTTTTTTTTGCCCGAATGACTCCAGGGCCAGGTACTAGGCAGACGGGGACAGCCCCTAGACCCCAAAGTCTACCAACTTTAAAATCCTCTTCTGATTACCCAGCCCTGCCTTTCTTTTCCTGTGGAAAACACAGTAAAGGATCTGGGCTCTGCTTTCTCCTCTGCTTCTGCTTCCTATACCACCCTGGTGCTTCTCACATAGCCCTGCAGGATGTGTTTTGCCTACTGTTTCTAAAACTCTGTAAAGTTTTTCCTTCCCGGCAATCATTTGCATGTCTGAGTTTCTTACCAGACCATACTGCAAAAAACCCCAGGTACATTTCTGAACACATAGGAACATATGACAACCTCTCTACACTGGCATAAAAGACTACACAATTTGTTTCCATCTGTCTCTCCAACTTCCATGCATAGTCAGTTCCAGCCGCACTAGGCTTCTTGGTGTTCCTCAAACACCCAGGATGCTCTGTCAGTTCCATTGTCCTATGTGTTTTCTCTGAGTGATAACACTGTTTCCTCAGATCTCCACTTGACGAGTCCTTAATTCCTCTAAGTCCATGCTAAAACATAACTTTTTTTTTTTCTTTTGAGACGGAGTCTCACTTTGCTACCCAGGCTGGAGAGCAGTGGCGCAATCTCAGCTTACTGCAACCTCTGCCTCCCAGGTTCAAGTGATTCTCCTGCCTCAGCCTCCCGAGTAGCTGGGACTACAGGCGCGTGCCACTACAGCCAGCTAATTTTTTGTATTTTCAGTAGAGACGGGGTTTCACAGTGTTAGCCAGGATGGGCTCGATCTCCTGACCTCATGATCTGCCCGCCTCAGCCTCCCAAAGTGCTGGGATTACAGACACGAGCCACCATGCCCGGCCTAATTAACTGTCTTATTAGACCTGTCCCAACTACTCTGTATTGCACAACTGGTTTTATCCCACTCTCACTGATTCTTAATCTGCTCTAGTTTGTCTTATCTCCACAACACTCCTAACCTTCTATGTTGTTTAGGAGTTTTGGATTATTATTATTTTTGTGTGTGTGGTATGTATGTGTCTCCATTGTGACTTTTTGCTTTTTTGTCTAGAGACAGGGTTTCGCTAGATAGCCCAGGCTGGTCTCAAACTCCTGGTCTCAAGCGATCCTCCTGTTTCAGCATCCTAAGTAGCTAGGACTACAGGCACACATCAGCAGGCCCAGCTCTGTATCTCCACTGTTTAGAGCAGAACCCATCACAAGATAGTCAAATACTTGTTGAGTTAATTCATTTAAAGTTAGTAAAGATATAAAAATATATTTTCAAATGGTTATGAATGTCCTAAAGAAAAATAGAAGAGTAATATTGGGGTGAGGGACTGAACATTATTATTATCATTATTATTATTATTATTATTATTATTTTAAAGAAAGAGGTTCTCTCACTGTGTTGCCCAGGCTGGAATGCAGTGGCACAATCGTGGCTCACTGCAGCCTACACCGCCATGGCTCAAGTGATCCTCCTGCCTCAGCCTCCCAAGTAGCCAGGACTATAGGCACCCACCACCACACCTGGCTAATTTTTAAATTTTTTCACAGAGACGGTGTCTCACTATGTTGCCCAGGCTGGTCGTGAACTCCTGGGCTCATGTGATCCTCCCACCTTGGCTTCTCCAAGTGTTGGGATTACAGGCCACCACACCTGGCTGGGGCAGGGGCGCTACTTTAGGTTAAGAGATTTGCACTTGAGCCCAGGAGACTCAGCTGGGCAACACAGTGAGACCCCATCTCTACAAAAAAAAAAAAATAATTAGTTGGGTGTGTTGGTGTGGGCCTGTGATCCCAGTTACTCAGGAGGCTGAGGTGGGAGGATCACATGAGCCTGGGAGGTGGCAGAGGCTGCAGTGAGCTATGACCCTGCTATTGTACTGCGGCCTGGGTTATAGAGCAAGACCCCATTAAAAAAAAAAAAAAGTGAGCTCCCTAAAGGCCTCTATGAGAAGGGAAAGGCTGATACAAGCTGAGGCTCATTACCTGGACCACATGTCTACAATCCAGGTGGGACTGGCTCAACACAGTATCTTTTACGTCATCTTGCAAAGTGCCTTCCCTCAGCTTCTTTAAGAAGTATTTGTAGAGTGAATGTTGAATGGATTTTATAATGAGGCTTCGAAATCCCCATGGTCTCCTGGCACCACTGTAGGACAGTTACTGTAGGACTGTTACCGTAGGATGTTACTGTAGGACTGTTACTGTAGGACGGTTACTGTAGGACTGTTACCATAGGATTGTTACTATAGAACGGTTACTGTAGTACTGTTACCGTAGGACTGTTACTATAGGATGGTTACTGTAGGACTGTTGGGTCACCCCTGGCTGTTAAGGCCATTTCCCTTTCTCTTCTCTCAGCAACCAGCCTGTGGCTTCAGGGGAAACTTCCAGTTCAAGACTGAAAGTCATGGTTTTGGCCCAGCTACTGGGGAGGCTGAGGCCGAAGGATCACTTGAACCTAGGAGTTCACAGACAGCCTAGGTAACATAGTGAGACCCCATATGATACGGTTTGGCTGTGTGCCCACCCAAATCTCATCTTGAACTGTTAACTCTCACAATTCTTGTGTGTCATGGTAGGGATCGGTGGGGGGTGACTGAACGATGGGGCCGGGTCTTTCCTGCGCTGCTATGATAGTGAAGGAGTCTCACCAGATCTGATAGTTTTAAAAACAGAAGTTTCCAGCCAGGCGTGGTGGCTCACACCTGTAATCCCAGCACTTTGGGAGGCCGAGGCAGGTGGATCACAAGGTCAGGAGATCAAGACCATCCTGGCTAACATGATGAAACCCCGTCTCTACTAAAAATACAAAAAATTAGTGGGGCGTGGTGGCTCGTGCCTATAGTCCCAGCTAGTCAGGAGGCTGAGGCAGGAGAATCGCTTGAACCCGAGAGGCAGAGTGAGCCGAGATCGCGCCACTGCACTCCAGCCTGAGCAACAGAGTGAGACTCCATCAAACAAAAAAGAATAAAAAGAAAACATTCATAAGCTTGTCCTGTATTCCTACACAAAGAGTATAACAGCAATATATTCCACAAGAGTAAAGCAAAATAAGTAAAGTTATTCTAAGTAAACTAAATTAGAAGGCTTTTCATGAACTGAGCAACTGTTGGAACTAAGCTGACATGGGGTTGTTAGCTGATTATAATGTGCCCAGAATTAGAATATTGATCCAGATTTTTACATTACCCATCCCTCTTGTTTCTTCTGAGCAGCAATCAGAGATGTTGGTTCACAGGAATAAGCAGGGTTAGCTTAAATTACAGAAACAAACTTAAAAAGAACTAATGAGACTAGAATTTAATAACAAGTATACCATAGTTCTTGAAATACAATATTTCTCTCTCCAGTTTCCCATTTTTACTAAAGACAAATTAGGGAAAGCCTGTTTTGCTTTATTATACTTGGTCTGATTATTTATATAAAGTGCAGCAAGAATAATAATTTTTCACATAGGCTTTTTTCATTTTTTATTTTTGAGATGGAGTCTCGCTCTGTTGCCCAGGCTGGAGTGCAGTGGCACAATCTCGGCTCACTGCAAGCTCTGCCTCTCGGGTTCACGCCATTCTCCTGCCTCAGCCTCCTGAGGAGCTGGGACTACAGGCGCCCACTACCACGCCTGTCTAATTTTTTGTATTTTTAGTAGAGACAGGGTTTCACCACGTTAGCCAGGATGGTCTTGATCTCCTGACCTTGTGATCCGGTCGCCTCGGCCTCCCAAAGTGCTGGGATTACAGGCATGAGCCACCGCGCCCAGCCCACATAGGCTTTTTAATTGGCTTTGATGGAACTTTGTTTCATAGAGAATCTCCGATAAGACTTTTTTAAAGCTGAGCCCTGCCATGGGTATGTACCTTCAAATACCTATAAGTTGGGTAAATTCCTCTCCTTTTGAGGTCCTAAGATAATGTGGAGCTCCTGGACTGTGAGAAAGTGACATTCTTTACTTAACCACAGGTCAGAAACTCTGTACGGGGACTGTGTAGGCAAGGTGTGAGGCCAGTTCCCCAAAGGGCTTTTATTGGCTCTACAAGTCAACTTTGATTCCTTAAAGGAAAGCACATCATTCTAGTCAAAGCCTTGCTAAAATAAGCAATTTCTCCAATTATGTCCTGTTATAAAGGAAAACAGATTCTTATTGCATTTATGCAAATAACTATATTGCCTTAAGTTAAGAATACTCACAACTAGTTTCCAAATTCTGGAGAAATCAGGTAGAGAGAAACAAATACTTTCCAAATTTTGTTCACAGAAGTATATTCAACTAGTAAATGCTGCAAATAGCTCAAATGAAAAGTTTCCTTGACTCTGAAAAACAAAACAAAGGACCAGCAATGTTTTAAACAAAGTTAAAAACATTAGACTTCTTCAGTTTAGTCCATGTAGTTAACTTCTGTTTGATACATAACTTCTGTATGAACATTTCAGTTCTCTATGAGAGTTCTAAAAGTTTTTCCTCTATTCTAATGTCACTATGTCCAAAATTATCAGAAAACCTGCTTTTTTTCTTTGGAGTCTCGCTGTCGCCCAGGCTGGAGTGCAGTGGCCTGATCTCAGCTCACTGCAAGCTCCGCCTCCCAGGTTCACGCCATTCTACTGCTCAGCTCTGTGAACTACAAGTCAGCTGGACTACAGGGCCGGCACAAAATGGCCGGCTAATTGTTGGTTTGTATTTTAGTGTGTAGAGCGACAGGTGTTTCATCCAGGTTGGCCAGGACTGGTTGCGTTGCAGTCTCGTGGACTTCTGAATCTGCCCCACCTCGCGTGCTGGCTGAAAGTGCTGGGAATAGTACAGGGTGAGCCACCACCCAGCCAGAAAAACCTGCCATTTAAGAAACGCTGCTTAGAGTTCTTTCGTTATTTTTTCGAGACAGAAGTCTCACTCTGTTGCCCGCAGGCTTGAGTGCCAGTGGCACAATCTCAGTGCTGATCTGCAAGACCTACCATTGCACAGGTTCTAAAGGATTCCCTATCTCAGCCTCCCGAGCGGGGACACAGCCTGTGCACCACACCTGGCGTAACTTTTGTTTACAGTTTTAGTAGAGATGGGGTTTCACCATATTCAGGCTGGTCTCCAAACCTCCTTGACCTCAATGAGTCTGCCTGCCTCGGCTCCCAAAGTGTACGGGAGTTACCAGGAGTGAGCCACATGGCCCAGCACCCCCGCCTTGTTTGTGTATTATTTTTTTTTTGAAAAGAGTCTCGCACTGTATCCGAGCTGGGCCCGAGTGAGCCCAGCTCACTGCAACCTGCACGCTCCGGGGTCGAAGCATGCGTCGTTCCGAGCCTCCCAGGAGTCGGGGAACAGGGCCTGCCGCCACCGATATCCACTAAGTGTTGTATTGTGTAGGAGAACACAGGTGTCACCATAGGCCAGCGTGGTCTGCCAAACTCGACCGCACAGCTGCCCGCCTTCGCCTCCAAACGGTAGAGACGTGAGCACCGACGTCCAGCCCTTTTGGTTCTTTTGGATTATGTGGAGTGCTCACATGTCACCGGCTGGAGACCTATCCGTCTAATCCCAGCTCACTGCAACTCTGCCTCCACAGGTTCAAGCGATTTCCTGCCTCAGCCTCCGAAGGTAGCTGGGATTATCAGGTGCCTGCCCCCCATGCCTGGGCTACTTTTTTTGTATTTTTTTTGTAGAGACAGGTTTCACTAGTTGCCAGGCTGGTCTCCAACCCTGACCTCGTGATCCACCCTCTCGGCCCCCGAAGTGCTGGATTACAGGTTTGAGTTCACTGGCACACCAGCCCAGCCTGGAGTTCTATAGTTGATTATAAACCACCTTCTAAAGATGATTAAAACAAGACAATTGTCTGTGGATGATAAAAAATTTCAGGACAGCCACTATTAAGGCCACAATTGATAAGGAAATTTGGTTCTGTGGCACACAAAATTTTACATAACAATTATAATTATTAACAACATACACTAAGTCATATTAGAATTATAGGAGTTTGTCATAATTTTGGAACATATACCAATAACACATTTATGCAAATATAATCCAAAGAAAGCAAAACACCATTTCACATTTGATAATGCTTCCCGTATGATCTTTGTACCAAATAAGCCAAATCTCACCTTTACATTAATGTACTATTAATGTGAAACCCAATTTTTAATAAAACCTTATAGATGGCCGGATGCGGTGGCTCACACCTGTAATCCCAGCACTTTGGGAGGCCGAGGTGCACAGATCATGAGGTCAGGAGTTCGAACCAGCCTGACCAACATGGTGAAACCCCGTCTCTACTAAAAATACAAAAATTAGGCCGGGCACAGTGGCTCACGCCTGTAATCCCAGCACTTTGGGAGGCCGAGGCAGGCGGATCATGAGGGCAGGAGATGGAGACCATCCTGGCTAACACGGTGAAACCCCATCTCTACTAAAAATACAAAAAAATTACCAGGGCGTGGTGGCGGGCACCTGTGGTCCCAGCTTCTCCGGACGCTGAGGCAGGAGAATGGTATGAACCCGGGAGGCAGTGGAGCTTGCAGTGAGCCGAGATCGGGCCACTGCACTCCAGCCTGGGAAAGAGAGCGATACTCCGTCTCAAAAAAAAAAAAAACAAAAATTATCCAGGTACCTGTAGTCCCAGCTACTCCAGGAGGCTGAGGCAGGAGAATCGCTTGAGCCCAGGAGGTGGAGATTGCAGTGAGCCAAGATAGTGCCAGTGCACTCCAGCCTGGGTGACAGAGCGAGACTCTGTCTCAAAAAAAAAAACAAAAAAAACAAAAAACAAAAAAAACCCTTATAGACCTATTTACCCAATTTTAATGTTTAACCATAAGGTAAGATTCTTTTTTTTTTTTGAGATGAATATTTAATTTATGGAAAAACAGAGTAATACCCCTTTAACTTTAGCCAATATGTTCACACACAGAATCTCTTACAATTAATTTTTATAAACCTTCCAGAACTTGTTTAAATATTTAGATTTTTTTTCTTACTTAAAACAAACGTTCAACACTTTAGGCAGAAAAAATGTCCACATTTCCATGCCTTCTTATAATCATTTTCTTTTTCTTTTTTTTTTTAACCAAAAACACATTTACTTTTCTTACACCCCTTCCATGTAAAATTGTTTCTTTAGTAGTGTCAGTTACATGTTATAATGTTAACTCTTAGCAACTTTTATTTTTGGTGAAAACCTTGGTAAGTAAGGAATTTTAATTATGTACTAGGTGTGGAGCCTGCCTAGGACACACCAGGCAGAAGTGCAAATAGGAATTGAATCTCCAGCATAACTAAAGAGCACTATGGTTAAAAGCACCATGGTTAAAAGGGGGTGTGGCTAACTCCAGAGGTCCCCAGGCCTTACCTAGAATCTACTGGCTTTAAGGTAGGTAAACTGAACAATTTTCAAAAGTTAAAGAAACAGTTTGACCTTAAAGCATTTAGCAATCTGATATCTGACCTTAATTTAGACCAAGCGTCTACATTTTCAAGATATTTTATTTTACCAATAATCTCTAAAACTGTTTCTTTCCAAAAGATTACTAAAGTCACCAGAACAAAAATGCATTACAATGTCTATTTTGCTGACAAAATATTTGATTTAAGCACTTATTTTTCTAAGGCAATTAATTAGAACTCTAATTAGAACTCTTTTATATCTAAACATACAACACATATAAATACACAGACACACAAAAGATTCAGCACTTGTAAGATTTTTCACTTGCCAGTTTTTTAACTGGAGTACTGGCTTCCAGTAATGAAGTCATCCACCCGCCTCGGCCTCCCAAAGTGCTGGGATTACAGGCATAAGCCACCACACCCAGCCTATCCACTTTTAATTAAGCTAACTTTTAACCATAGTGCTCTTTAAAAAAGAAATCCTTTCAAATCTCTTATTACCCAACTTTAGCCATGCCAAGAAGCCAATATTTCTAGCTTCTGAACTTTACCAAGTTATCTCCTAGGTGCATAGAAAAAGGACAATTTAAAACAGTCTGTGGAGGAGAAGAGAATAGACAAGGTCCCGCAGATATTAAACCAGAAACGACTTACTTCCTAGGTGGGGTATCAAACCCAGACTGCCACTGTGGAAGTGCAAAAACCTTAGTTACTGAGCTACAGCACAGGACGATGCCCACTTCCTTTCACAGAAGCCTAGAGTAGTTAATTTTGAGCTTGCAAGGGCTTTTAACAACTTAATATGATTTTTAGAGCTGACTATGACATGAACCCTAAAATTCCTGTTCCCTAGAAGGCAGAGACCAAGAGAAGGTACCACTACATGGTTAAAAGGCCAAGCTCCCAAGGACATAAAACAAGGGGGAGACTTCATCCAGTTTGTTTGTTTCAGGGACCTGACCAGCTTGCTGGGTCGTCTTGAAAAGTGGGCTTACAGGTGTTCTAAGCCCATGTTTTATCCTACAGAAAAATGAATTCAAAGCACAAAATACACGAGCTTAAGACTAGCCTTACAATTCTTTTTCACATTAATCAAAACTTTACAGAGGAGATAAACACTGATTTATTGATTTGTTATTATTATTATTATTATTTTACCATTCATTCAACCATTTGCATAGAGAGAGAAATCAGAAATCTGACTGGTAACAAATTCTTATCCTTTTGCTGGCATGCGAGGCTTCTGTGTTCCCTTTCTCTGAGTGGTCCCAGTGGTCTGGCTTGTGGCACCATTGCCCCGGGGGCCAAGTCGCATTATAAAGGAAAATTACTTTTTTTCATTCTGACCAGAACAAAATACATGCGATAAAACATACACATTAGCCACTCTGCTTAGCACCCAATATTAAAATGGCAAGGCTTAAATTTGCCCCCAGATGGGCCTCGTCATCTTTAATCCAGCCTCTGACTTGGAGTTTCAACATGTGGTCTCTGGGGAAGATGGTCGCCCTGAGTAACAGAAAAGATAAGAAAGGGAAATACTTTCCCAGGTAATATTTTCCCAGGAAATACTTTCCACAGGCAATACTTTCCCAAGGAAGGGGAAATGATCAGGGAGGCCAGAGAAAGACCCACCCATTGTAGTGACACTGAAAAGTTCAGGCGGCTGCGGCTGCTGTCGTGCCGGTATTTTTTTCCGGCAGTCCCCTCAGCTCTCAAGTTTCCCCTTTTGTGGAAGGAAAAAGCTCCCCGTGTCCCATGATCCTGTACATGCCTAACCCTGTTGCCCACAGTCATCAACAAAGAATGCAAGGCAGATTAATCCAAAGAGAATAGGAGTTAACATCCCTGCCAAACCTGTCTTAGCCAGCAGAGACTTTACTGAGAGGGGTCTCTAATCCCCTAAATCTTAGAAGCGACTCTAATCCTCCTGACTTGGGCCTCTAACCCAAGGTCGGTCAAGTGTCCTTGCCTTTTATTAAGAGGGGCCTCTAACCCACTCTGTCTTTTTTTTTTTTTTTGGCTCTGTCGCCCAGGCTGGAGTGCAGTGGCCGGATCTCAGCTCACTGCAAGCTCCGCCTCCCGGGTTCACGCCATTCTCCTGCCTCAGCCTCCCGAGTAGCTGGGACTACAGGCGCCCGCCACCTCGCCCGGCTAGTTTTTTGTATTTTTTTTAGTAGAGATGGGGTTTCACCGTGTTAGCCAGGATGGTCTCGATCTCCTGACCTCGTGATCCGCCCATCTCGGCCTCCCAAAGTGCTGGGATTACAGGCTTGAGCCACCGCGCCCGGCCTACCCACTCTGTCTTAGGAGAGACTCTAACTCCCCTAACTTGAGCGTCTATCCCAATCCCATTCTTAACTTGGATACCCCACCACTTATCCAAAGTGGTCCAATCAGTGCTGCAGTCTATTTCCTTTGGGTCAGGGGGATCTCCTCAGTATTGTTCCTTTTGTGGTTTGCAAGAAAGGTGTTACTGGATCCCACCACACACCCAAAGTTAGCCTTTGGGTCAGGGGTTTCTGCAGTATAGTCTCTTCTGCGGTGGCCAGGAATATGTTACAGGAAAGGGGTCCCAATCCACACCCCAAGAGAGGGTTCTTGGATCTCGCGCAAGAAATAATTCAGGGCGAGACCATAAAGTGAAAGCAAGTTTATTAAGAAAATAAAGGAATAAAGAATAGCTACTCCATAGACAGAGCAGCCCCGAGGGCTGCTGGTTGCAAATGTTTATGGTTATTTCTTGATGACACGCTAAACAATGGGTGGATTATTCATGCCTCCCCTTTTCGGACCACATAGGGTAACTTCCTTACATTGCCATGGCATTTGTAAACTGTCATGGCACTGGTGGGAGTGTAGCAGTGAGGACGACCAGCGGTCACTCTCGTCACCGTGTTGGTTTTGGTGGTTTTGCCCAGCTCCTTTACTGCAACCTACTTTATCAGCAAGGTCTTTATGACCTGTATTTTGTGCTGACCTCCTATCTCATCCTGTGACTCAGAATGCCTTAACTGTCTGGGAATGCAGCCTAGTAGGCTTTAGCTTCATTTTACCCAGCTCCTATTTAAGATGGAGTTGCTCTGGTTCATACGCCTCTGAAAAAAACATTTAAATTTAATTATAAGAGTCTGGCCAGGCGCGTTGGCTCACATCTGTAATCCCAACACTTTGGGAGGCCGAGGCGGTCGGATCACCTGAGGTCGGGAGTTCGAGACCAGCCTGACCAACATGGAAAAACCCCGTCTCTACTAAAAATAGCCACGCGTGGGGTCTCATGCCTGTAATCCCAGCTACTTGGGAGGCTGAGGCAGAAGAATCGCTTGAACCCAGGAGGCGGAGGTTGCAGTGAGCCGAGATCGTGCCATTGCACTCCAGTCTGGGCAACAAGAGTGAAACTCCATCTCAAAAAAAAAAAAAATTTTAATTATAAGAGTCATAAGTATGTGAAAAAGAGAATGATGTCTTTTTATTGCCAATGATGAATAACAGTGTTGCTAGAACACTAATTTCGCCAAAAATATTTCTCCAGAAGTATTTTATAGACAGCATCGTGTAGGAAATTGACCCCATCTCCATTCGTTGACTATTTTCAATCTCGAAATTAAATCTCTTGGGGAGTACTTTCTGCACACCTTGTTTCTATTTTCATAACCATATATATCGTCAAACCATTGAAAGCTGGACTTTATTCTCTCATTTTCATAATCATGAAAAGAAAAAAAAAAGTTACTGATGGGGACTACGAAGACTTTGCATAATATAGATATCTTTTGCATAATATAGGATTGTTAAAATCCTAACATGACTTTATTGGTCTCCTGTCTGCAACCAGTTAATGCTGGATTGGGCCAGGGTTCCCCTCTTTCCCGTCACTTATCCATTCTTTTCAAAGCCTCACCTAATATCATGACTTGAAGTAACAGTTTACGGTAACAACTCTCAAATTTATATACCCACTCTCGAACCCTCTGCCAGTGTTGAATCATAGGTTGAGTAGATGGCACTACGCTTTGAGGTCTCACGTTTCAAACTGATCATGCCTGAAATGGGAGTACTGGGCTTCCCTGCAAGCCTGCTCCACTAGCAGCCTCCCCACCTCAGGGTATGGGAAGTCCACACGTGGCGAACGCGAAGCCTATTACATCACCCGGAAGTCCCTGCAGCCTTTGAAGGCTGGGCCCGGCCAAAGGAGGCCCAATAGAGGGCGGTCTGTCCTTTCCCAGCAGGCCGGGCACACTCTCAGGCGTCCTCCTTTGGGTGGCTATTTTATCTGCTCATTTATCCTTTTCTTCTATGAAAAGATCCAGAAAAGAGGCAAAGCGAGCGAGAAGTCGCGGGCCCAGCCCCACAGCAGGGTAAGCACCTTTGTTCGGGGTCTGAATCGGGGCGACTATCCCCGCCTCCTGACCTCGATTTTCCTGAGCTTGAAGGGACCTTTCGACCCTCCGACGTGTGCCTATACTAAAGCGGCGGCCCTAAGACGACGCGGGGGTTCTGGTGCCCACTTACGTGGAGTCGGATGCGCTGGGTGAGTTCCCACACCCGGTAGATGTAAGGGAAAAACTGCATTACCCAGAAGGCACCGTCCCTTGCGTCGGCCGCGGACTCTGGGCCATTGACGGCCCAGGACAGGAGCGTTTTCTGCGGGCCAGGGCGGCGGAGGCGGGACTTCCGCTTCTTCGTGTGACGTCATCTCCGTGGGCCGGCTTGGCCCTGAAACAGTGTGGGGCCTAGAGCGCTGGGTGGGCGCGTTCTGCGGCCTGAGCAGGGAAGGGTAGTGAAGCGGTTACGCCCCTTCTCCGCGTCTTGGCGGGAGCCTGACGCCCCGCTTCTCCCCTAACGAGGCATCCCACTGGCGCCCGTCGAGGCCTAGGCCTCCGCAGCCGCCCTCCGTCTCCTCAGCCCCGACGCTGCGCCCTGGGCCTTGTGCGCATTTTTTTTGGGGGAAAACTGAGGCTCAGAGTGCGAAAGTCAGCCGAGGTCGCCCCGCCCAGGACAGAGAAGGGCTGTGGTCGGCTGATCCGCGGCATTCCCGGGATGGCGGCGGCGTGGATGGCTCCGGCGCAGGTGAGTGGACGAGGTTTCGGCCTTGCTGCTGCTCTGCTATTTCTGGAGGCCTCGTGGGCAGGCTGGAAGCCAAGACAGCCACAGGATTTGTCTTTGTCGCCATCGTTTAAGAGAAATGGCCGTGGCTTGTCATTTCCTTTATCCGCAGTCCTGCAACAGTGTTGGCCTCGGATAGATGTTCAGTGCGTGGTTGAAGGAGGAGTGATGCTTCCTTCGGGGGCTCTCATCACACTTCCCCTAAATCCAGCCTTGTCTGCGGCCTGCCAGCCCCTACCCCATCCCCTTGGCCAACCACCCCGACCTTGTGTCTTTGCGTTTCTCCCTGGTCCTTTGCTCTTCAGAGCCACCAAGCTGACCGTACAGAGTCCTCTTCCATTTTCCAGCCTTTCTCCTTGACCCCCCTTTACCTCGAACACTGCCGCTGTAGTGGGGGGCCTCCGTCCCACATCCTTCTGGCCTCTGTCCAGATGTCACGTATTTGGAGGTGCCTTTTTGGGCAACTCCGGCTAAAGTGGCACCTTACACCCTTGCCCAGAGTCTGGTATTTTTGTGTAGAGAATCTGATGGTGTTAAAGAAGCTTGTGGATTTGAGTTTGTCAAGGACGTAATGAGAACAAAGAAAAATAATTAGAAAGAATGCTATTAACTGACTGTCGTTGAGTCCTTGCTGTGGGCTGATTGGTGGGTAATATTTAACCCTCTGCTCGTGTAATCCTGATTTTTTTTTTTTTTTTTTTTTTTTTGGGACGGAGTCTTGCTCTGTCGTCCAGGTTGGAGTACAGTGGTGTGACCTTGGCTCACTGCAAACTCCGTCTTCTGGGTTCAAGCGATTCTCCTGCCTCAGCCTCCTGAGTAGCTGGGAGTACAGGTGCACGCCACCACGCCTGGCTAATTTTTGTATTTTTAGTAGAGACGGGGTTTTACCATGTTGGCCACGCTGGTCTTAAACTCCTGACCTCAGGTGATCCACCCGCCTTGGTCTCCCAAAGTGCTGGGATTACAGGTGTAAGCCGCCGCACCGGCTTAATCCTGAACTCTTTAGAATTAGGTTATATTGTCATCATTGTTTTACACAAGAGCAATTTGAGGGTCACAGACGTTCAATTACTTGCCTTGCATCACTGTAGCTCTTAAGTATCAGAAACTAACAACTGGTATGTTTACCATCATAGTCTGTGTTTTTAACCTCTTCTTTACCTGCAATGGTTAGGGAGGCCTGAGGGTGACACCTAAAGTAAACTTTGCAAGATGAGGCCTCCTTCTAGCCGTGGTCTTGGGCATGAGGAGTCATGACCTTTCATACTGGTGGAACTGTGTAGACTTAAAAAATGGTATATTGGTTGTTTAAGGAGTTCCCAGGGGACCTGTGTGGCTTCCACGGTGGTTTTATATGTGGTTCCCCTTACTCCCTTACCTGCTGACATATTCTGAGAGGGCACGTTTGTATGGTTTTGTTGCTGAATGTACTCTCCTACTCAGCCAGGATAGATATAATCTGCAGATGGGCCCATATTCTCATGGCTACAACCTGCTGTGCCCTCTGTGACTCTTGTTTGCTTGCTGCTGGAATATTCTGGCTTCAGGGTTACCTGCTAGTAGGACTCAGGTAGAAAAGGAAGTGATGGCTCATTGTGCATTCTCCCTGGAAGCAGGTCCAGGCCCTAACACCTGATCAGGTGCCACTAGCTCAGGTGATTCTTTGTTGAGGTGGATGATGATGACTACACTTCTCTGCACTTGTCCATGGGAGTGGCTGAAATGGATATATGGATTTGAAATGCTTCATCCTCATTAACTGCATTAACTTTGCTAATAGAGAAATGTCAGGTTACATAATTAGACCAGAGGGCCCTGGGCTTAAATCCTGCCTCTGTTGATAAGACCTGTGACTCTGGGCTGGGCATGGTGGCTCACACCTGTAATCCCTGCACTTTGGGAGGCCGAGGTGGGTGGACTGCTTGAGCCCAGGAGTTCAAGACCAGCCTGGGCAACATGGGGAAATCCTATCTCTACAAAAAATACAAAAAATTAGACTGGTGTGGCATCTTGTGCCTGTAGTCCCAGCTACGCAGGAGGCTGAGGTGGGAGGATCACTAGACCACAGGAGGTCAGGGCTGCAGTGAGCCGACATTGTGCCACTGCACTCCAGCCTGAGTGACAGAGTGAAACCATCTGAAAAAAAAAAAAAGACATGAAGACATGTGACTTTGGGTAGACTGGTAGAGCTTCTGGGACCTGAGATCTGGGCCTCAGGTCTCTGAGTGTGACATAGAGATGATGATGGTAAATTCAGATGCTGTGTGTAGCCTTTGCCTCGGTGTTTTTTTGGTTTTTTTTTTTCTTTTTTTACAAGCAGTTTTTCTTTGTTTCATTTTCTTTCCTTTTTTTTTTTTTTTTTTTTTTGAGACAGAGTCTAGCTCTGTTGCCAGGCCAGAGTTCAGTGGTGCGATCTTGGCTCACTGCAACCTCCGCCTCCCGCGTTCAAGTGATTGTCCTGCCTCAGCCTGCCAAATAGCTAGGACTTACAGGCACACACCACCACGCCCAGCTAATTTTTGTATTTTTAGTAGAGATGGGGTTTCACCTTGCCAGCCAGGATGGTCTCAATTTCCTGACCTCATGGTCTGCCCACCTCGGCCTCCCAAACTGCTGGGATTACAGGTGTGAGTCACCATGCCCAACCTACAAACAGTTTTTCTTTAGTTCTTTTGACTATTCTTTTTTTTTTGGAGGGGGGGGGACAGAGTCTCGCTCCATTGTCCAGGCTGGAGTGCAGTGGCATAATCTTGGCTCACTGCAACCTCTGCCTCCCAGGTTCAAGCTATTCTCCTGCCTCAGCCTCCCTAGTAGCTGGGATTGCAGGTTTGTGCCACCACACCTGGCTACTTTTTGTATTTTTAATAGAGCCAGGGTCTCACCATGTTGGTCAGACTGGTCTCGAATTCCTGACCTCAGGTAATCCACGTGCCTCAGCCTTCCAAAGTGCTGGGATTACAGGCGTGAGCCACCATGCCCAGCCTTGACTATTCTTGATGAGGTGGGAAACACGGTTATACTAACCTGGAAATCGAGGCTCAGCGAAATGAAATGAGGTCCCTAAGGTCACATAGCAGGCACATGTTGATTTCAGGAATTTGGTTTTAAACCTCAGGAGTCTGGCTCCTGAGCTGGGGACTTTCAGTCACTTTACCATGGCATGTAAACCTGTCAGCATGAGGCAGGCACACAGGGAGGATCGGTAAGACTCAGGTACTGTTCCTGTTATTGTTGCTGGTGTTGATTTGTTATTATTATTCTTTCCCATTCCTCTGATATGTCAGAGTGCTTACTGTCTGTGCCTCTCAGTCCGCTTCGGATTGTCCTAACTTTATTTCTGTGTCAAGTTCTAGTGGTTTCCTGCATAGGAGGCTTTTTTTTTTTTTTTTAAGATGGAGTCTTGCTGTGTTGCCAGGCTAGAGTGCAGTGGCACGATCTCAACTCACTGCAGCCTCCACCTCCCAGGTTCAAGCAATTCTGCCTCAGCCTCTTCTGTCTCCTCTTCGCTGCTGTAATCCATGCAAGGCAGTGTCCACATTCCCCTTGATCCTAGCACAGATCTAGGCCCTTTGGAGGTGCTTGGTGATTTGGCCTTTGATTCTCTGTGCATCTTTTGCAGTGCTGGAGTGACAGGTTCTAATCCTATTCCACAGTTGCAAAGGAAACATTACTGGCTCTGTTTGACTTTTCAGGAGTCTGTGACCTTCGAGGACGTGGCTGTGACATTTACCCAGGAGGAGTGGGGGCAGTTGGACGTGACCCAGAGGGCCTTGTACGTGGAGGTGATGCTGGAGACCTGTGGGCTTCTGGTCGCACTGGGTAAGGCCTGTCCTCTCCTCTCCAACATCAGGGGCACCTGAAAGCAGCTTCATTCTAGCCTAATTCAGCTTCATTCTGGCTTCAGGCCGGGCTAGTGGAATAGGTCTTGGGAGCCAGCCCTCCTGTTTCCCAAAGCTTGACTCAATTTTTTTTTTTTTCTTTTTTTTTTTTTTTGAGACACAGTTTCGCTCTTATTGCCCAGGCTGGAGTGCAGTGGCGTGATCTTGGCTCACCACAACCTCCGCCTCCCGGATTCAAGTGATTCTCCTGCCTCAGCCTCCAGAGTAGCTGGGATTACAGGCATGTGCCCCCACACTCAGCTTATTTTGTATTTTTAGTAGAGATGGGGTTTCTCCATGTTGGTCAGGCTGGTTTCAAACTCCTGACCTCAGGTGATCTGCCCACCTTGGCCTCCCAAAGTGCTGGGATTACAGGCATGAGCCACCACGCCTGGCCTCATTATTTTGACTCACTTGATTCTTCCTGATCTCTTTGTGTCTTACTTAGAAAGGGTTGGCTAAGAAATGTAGTTTGCTTTTGGTCACAGCCAAAGGAGTGGGATCCGTTACCAGGAAATGGGGATGTTTTGTAGAACCCAAAGGTGGGATTTGCAGCCAGGCCCCTTGTGGGACTAACACTGGGTATCTTGTGCTGGCTTCCCTTTATGGATCTGCTC